CGCTCGTCGAGGCCGGCGGCCAACTTCGCGGCAAGCGCTGGTCGACGGGACGCGCCGAAGGAGGGCAGCGCGGACAGGCAGCTGCTCGAGGCGACGGTCTTCTGGAGGGACCAGCAGGACAAGAACTTTGCGAGCGAGTGGAGCGCCAACGTCAAGCACGAGCTGTTTGAGGACGCCAAGGCGTTGCAGGGCGCCGAGGCGGCTGAGGTTGAGCAGGTCGTCGACGCAGCGACGCCTGTTGCGAAAGAGGCGTGAGAAGGAAGGGGCAGAGCAGATGGGAGCAGATGGGAGCAGATGGGAGCAGATGAGAGCAGACAGCAAGCAGACCGACTCATGTGTCGATGCGGCTTGCGAGCGTCCTTCGGGGGCTTGTATTACCACACGGCGGTTGTTCAGCACAGCACCACCCGGCCTGTTGTAGACTATTGTACGAATGATTTAAACATGTTCATTCATTCATGGCCTTGGCCCTGTGTATATGCGTGGCAGTCTGACATGACTGCCATTGGATGGTGATCTGTGTATGCAAGATCTCGTCGTTGACGGTTGCCATCATCAAAATGTCGTGCTCAATCCCAATCCAACCCGTGATAAACTGTTAAACAGACAACCTGCAAAGAAGAAGAAAAAAATCAGACGAGATACTGCTGTACACCCTCGCCGCCATTACACCGACAAGGCAAACTTCTTGAGGTGCTCGTAGTCAGCCACATTATCCTCCACCGTCTGGCGAATCAACTTGGCCCCCTTCTCGCCGTACTTCTCGTTCCACTCGCGATCCTCAGACTCACGAGTGAGAACCTTCTTCTGTGGGAGTCAGTCCGATGCGTCCACGTTGCCATGTCTCAGGAAAGGTCTGGACTTACATGCTTGGGGTCGCGTGCCCTCAGGTTGCAGCTCGACAGAGCATCGTCGTGGAAGCCGACCCACTTGGCAAACTTGTCCTGGGCAAAGGCGGTGTCCTCGTCGCTCCAGTTCAGCATGCCGTCGTGGAAGTCGAGGCCAACCCGCTTGCAATACGCGCGCAGGATGCCCTCGGGGTCGTCGAGGAGGTCATCGGCGTCGATGACGGTCAGGTTGGAGCGGTCGATGAGTCCCTCCTTCAGGAGGAAGTCGAAGAAGCGGCGCACCTCATCGTAGCCTGCCTCAGCCGGATCGAAGTTGTAGAAACCCGTCACCTTGTCCAGAGGCGGCACAGTACAGCGGAAGTAGGAGGGGATGGAGCGGCGAGGATGACGGATGAGGAAGGTGAATTGGAACTTGCGGAGGATATCAATGGGGATGACGGTAGGGTTGTTAGGCTCAGTGAACTTCTCGCCGCCCAGAGAGGGTGCGATGGAAGCGGGGGCACCAGAGGGGGGGAAGAGGTAGTGAATGATATCCTTAATGAAGATACGCTTGGCGCCCTGTGAATCTTGTTAGTCTGCATTGGCCCTTTGGTGAGAAATGCGACCGGGGATGAAGATGTGGGTGACAGGCATGGCAAAGAGCTTCGGGGGCGCAAGCCGCAGAGAAGCTTTGCAAGAAGGTGCAAGAATGAATTGGCCTTTCGCAGCTTTAATTCCATGTCGCATGCGAATTGACAAGCCGAGGTTTGGTTGCGCGAAGCTCTTCACAAAGTTGTCGCCAGCACTTGCGGGCGTCATGCATGAAGCTAATTGAAGCTTTCACGACTTTGCGATGAAATCGCGGGGTTGCATGCACCACACCAACAAGCCCGCCGACACCCATCATGAGACGATTGGGAGAAATGGGGAAACCTACACCCTCGCTAGACTCCTCAATGGTCTGTAGGACATCGGCATACGTTGTATTGGCAAAGCCAGACGCCTCCCTGGCCTCAGCGTCGTCGGCATAACGAACGCCGAGGCGCTCAGGCCCGTAGTAGAACGCATCGCCAAAAGGCTCATGAACGCAGCTCAGCACATCCCTGCGGGTCATGAAGACCTGAAATTTCAATCAGCATCAGAGACACGTGGTAGTGAAATACAACTGGGTCATTGGAGTTTGGGAAAGAATCTCTTCAGGCTCCTCCCCCTCTCCCTAGCTACAATGATCCAGGGTTGTCAGAAAACGTACCCTCTCAAAGGCGGTTGAGCACGCCCGGGGATGGGTCGCGCAGAAGATGGGCTTCTTGGAGGTCGAGATGACAGTCATCTTGGCTGATGGCAAGGATGGAAGGCGTGCTAACGGTGGGCTGCTCCAGTTGTCGCGACGTTTGTGATGACGTGCTTGACAAACGAGAGGTTGTCGTGGGTTCTTGTGGTGGGCAATGGGGCTGCTCAGTCTTGTGATAGGACAATGAGCGATGGCGCAATGTGTCGATGGGATGTGCAAGCGATGGCGGAATCTCGAGATGAGGGGATGACACGGCTGCATTCTCGAGAGGACGAGATGGGAGGACACCATATATAAAGGCCTTCATCCGGGTCGTCAGCTCTTTCGCGCACCCAGCGTTGGTTGCAAAGCTCCCCCCAAGTCAGACATCCAAACTCGCCTTCCGCCGTCCAATCGAGCTCTCAGAAGCTCTGCAACTGGGCTGTTGCCCCTCTTTCCAACAAGCTCTCACCCACCTGCCGCACCCTCTACCCACGCTTGAGCGGGGGGGCGGCGCAGAAAGAACTCAACGAGGGTAACGTGTAGGTACAGTACGTCGAGGTACCAATGGCGGAGGTATCTCGGAACTCAACCATGGCGTGAAAAATTGAGCGTCGAGGGCGTCGAGTCAACCGTATCCAGCGAAGCGAGCACCCGAGGCCGAGAAACTTGGACGGCTTTCAGGCCCCACGACCAGAGAGAGACCAGCGCCAGGTACCGATCCAGCCAAGGGAGTGGCTTGCTTATCTCCGCCAGCGCCCGTGATACATGCGGTTTAGACGTCATAATCACCAAGTTTCTTCGACCGGGGCCAATTGCGGCTTCCGCACCGGAGACACTAGCGTCTCCGCCGAGGGGGCCTTTGGGGCCCAGAACCGCTTTTTCCTCCCGTTGACTCCTTCAAGGACTGTTCAAACTCTGTCCACTGGCGCGCGCGATACCTCCACCAGACGTACCACCTTCGCTCTGCCCGTACTCTCGCTGCCTCCACGTGTCGGGAGTTGTCTCTGTACTTCTCAGGCGACCCGGTAAGGTCCCGCGGCGGGTGGGGGTACACCTACGCCTGCGGACGGATGTTCAATGCGGACTTCTTTTCGTGCGGTTGGCAATCAGCTGAGATGCCACAGGCAAGAAAACCGCACGGCCAAGCAGAGGGGTAAGAGGGGAGTATGCCACTCTAAACGGGGCATGCTGTAGCTCTCCGAAGATTATGATAAAGTCTGGTTCTCGCCGCGCTGAGAGATAGTCCTCTGTCGATATAGGCCTGGCTGTCGGCGTATGGAAATGGCTTTTTCAGTGAGGGTGAAAGTCGTAAGAGTTTGACGACTGGGCTTGGCAGTTGCTAGAGGCTCCATTGACCATTGATTCCGAGAGAGCCAGGATCGTGAAGACGAACCTCACCTCTAAAATCATCTGCCGAAGTGAGCCACCACGCCACAGACATACTCCATGTCGCAGCTGTACATGCCTCCAGTACAGCCAAAAAAAAAACTCTTTTGCGAGTGAAAATCTTCAAAGGTATCCATGGGTACCCAATCTTGCCCGTTCCATGTCTCAAAGGCCCCCTTGACATCGCCGACCACGCCGCGCTCAGCTTCACGCCCGACTGGCACATTCGGTTTCCATGACCAACTGAATAACCACGTCCTCCCACGTCCAAAACCCTGCCGCCGACATGTCGCTACCTGAAAAAGGCACATTTCCATGTCGTCTTGCGTCTGGCGCCGTCTACCATCCAATAGCTGCCCAGTGCTACCCCCGTAGGCCCCTCCCTCGTAGCCTGACACCTGAAGACGGCCATGCCGTCAGCGGCGAGACTGCCCATCGCCCTGGCCCTCGCATGGCCAGTCTGCAGCCGACAGCGGCCAAGCGGCAGTTTCAGCAAGAATTCGGAAGCGAGACAGGGCGAAAAGGCACCCACAGGTGTTCAGTGCCCGTGGAAGCTGGCACCCTGCCTCGCTCTAGCCGACCCTTCGCCACCCCCCCTCCAAGACGAAGGGCCCCATTCTCAGCTCGCAGGGAGGGGAAGGGGAAAGAGTTTGCTCTGGCTCCTGGGTCTCTCACTCTAGCCCTAAGGCCGGGAGCGCTGGTCTTCCCAGCTCCCAAGCCACCGCCATGTTTCCGCAACACGGGCAACACCCTCGAGAGCGTTGCGGACCCGCCCGTCCGGGTCTCTCACACGATGGCCTTCAAACTCGACAAAAAAGACGTACTGGAAGGGTTCCTCGAGGCTCGGCCGGCTGTTGATGCTCGTCAAGTTCAGACCGGCTGCGCGGAAGGCGGAGAGCACGTCAGCCAGAGCCCCAGGGGCGGTGTGGGGAACCATGAAGGAGACCATGGACTTCGTCGTGCCAACGTCGGACTGGCAGAGTTTGGGTGGTAAAGGAGTCTTGGACAACTCAAAGTCTTCTTTCCGGATGACGAAGAATCGAGTTGTATTGTCAGAGCGGTCTTCGATGCTCGCAGCGAGGACATCAATGCCGTGGAGCTGGGCAGCAATCTCGCTGGAAATGGCGGCACTGGTGCCGGTCTCGTCTTCGGCAACGAGAGCTGCGGCGCGGCTAGTCGATGATACATCGATCGCTTCGACGCCCTTGAGGTACGTCTGAAGGAATGCTGAACACTGCCCCCATGCCTGGGGATGAGAATAGAGCCGGCGGATGTGGGTGAGATCTGTCAGGGGCTTGGCACGGGGCTTGGGCGGGTGCGGCTCTGAAGCCGTAGGGGTGCATGCTCCGGAGCCGGGGGCGGAGGAGTTGGACAATGCAGATACAGACGTCGGAGCGGCTGTTGTCGATTCAGGGGGTGCAGTCACGAGTCTAGAGGCACCTGCAGTGTTGGCATTGGGTGGTAGGTGCCCTACGAGAAAGTGGTGGACGTCGAGGTAGTTCTCGCCGCAGACGGCAATATTAGGAGAAAGTGCATGCCGGTCAGCGAAGCAGTCAAGAGTAAAGACAACCGAGCCATTGGTTGAGTTCTCAAAAGGTACAACGCCGTATGTGACATGTCCGGCTTGGACGGCGGCGAAGATATCTGCGTGTGTCAGGCGACGTCGGCTTGGTCTGGATAGCAAGAATTTGCCTACCGTGGATGGTGACAAGTGGCTTCAGTTCCCAATCGCTCTCGGGAAACACCTGCAGGGACGCCTGTGATGATTTAGCACGGGTTTTGCCAGCTGACTGCTTCAGAGGCCAGGACGACTGTGTCATATCGGTTTACCTGATGAGTGTACGAAGCCTGAGGACCAAGGAACCCGACAAGTGGTTTGCTGGGAGCCTCATCTCGCGTTGGTTCCGCCATATCGTCTGTAGGACAGCCAGCGATAAGAGTACGAGATCTCCGCCTGCCTCTAGCTGAGGTCAATCTCAGGTCAGTCGAGCAACCGTTCAGGCGTGTCACAGGGTGCAGAAACAATGGGTCTGGTGGGATGACGAGGCGTTGCGGTCAATCAGCTGTGAGACGGTGACAGGCGGGTGGCCGCACAGCAAGTGTCCCACGAAATGATCGATACGAAAAATGAACAATGGATTTCGTCCGACGAGATGAGGCCGATGATGGGTCGCGGTGTGATCATTGATGAGGGGTCGTAGTTATCGTGGTTGAATTGGGCGAGGGTTTTCTTCTTCGATTGGATTCCCCACGGCGGGCGGCATCGGACAAGTTGGAGCGCGCAGGGGGGCAGTCGCTGTACCACTGGCGGCAGTCACTGCTCCACTCTCGCCTTCCTCTCCAACGTCGTATACCGGACAGCGACAACCGGCTGTCAACCCACGAAATGAATTGGTGGAAACGCTTGGTGTTTTGGCGTCTACCAGGTGAATGGTCACTGGTGATGACATGTTGCTTGCTACCTGGGAACCTAAGGTAGGTAAGGTACCTTAGCAGGTAGGTACCTACCTAGGTAGGTAGCTAAGGCGCCTTGCTATACATTTCGCCCGGTGCCGCACCTTCTTCCCTGGACGGGATATTCAATCAGGTACAGTAACTCCTTTAGGCCAGGTAAGGTACCTACCTAGGTATCTAAGGTACCTACCTAAGGTAGGTAGGTAGGTGCCTAGGTAAGGTAAGGTAGGCAGGCACCTGAGGTACCACCTACCTTGTGAAGCTGTCCGTATTACCTCTGACTCATCGTGCAGCATCGTGCCGTCAATCATTGACTTCCCATAAGGAGCTCACTCGTGATCATGATCGCCTATGAGCAACATCCAGCTACTGCTTTCTGTCCATGGCCGCCTGGACCAGCTCCCTGCCCCCCTCGACCCAATCATCCCAACAGATGCTCAGCGTGGCCGTGTCCCTCCACAAGTCCTGCGGATCGCCGCCCGGCGGCAGCCCCCGACCGTTGCCAGTCTTGCCGCGCGCGACCCCGTCCTTGAAGAGCATGTGCCACCGCGTGATGCCCTCGTCGTTGAACCCCAGCCGGTGCGCCAGCTTGATGGAGCCCGCGTTCCTCGCATGCGCGCGCCACTGCACCCTCGCGAGCCCGAGGCCGCCGTCCTCGGGCCTGTCGAGGGCGTACCGTACGAGCAGCCCGGCGGCGTTGGTCGCGACGTGCGTGCGCTGGTACGGCGGCAGGATGTACACCCAGCCAATCTCCGTCGTGCGCGTCGTCGTCGAGCTCTGAAAGTAGGACATCATGCCGGCGAGCTCGCCCTCGTCGTCCTCGGCCGACGCCGGCCGCGTCGTGTCGATGACGGCGTACGTGAAGAAGTCAGGCCTCGCATACGACGTCTTCTCGACAAACTCCGTCTGGAACTCCTCGAGGCTGTGCCAGGGGCCCGACGGCGTGTACGTGAAGAGGACGGCGTCGCTGCCGGCGAGTGCATGGAAGCGTTGGGCGTGACGCTCCTTCTGCTGCCGTGTGAGTGAGGCTCATTGTCGTAGGCCGTCGCAGGCAGAGTGGCCACTCACGTCAAAGGGCACGAGCTTGATCTTGTCGTTGGCGAGCACGCGCACGGGGAAGCAAAAGTTGGTCTTGAAGTCCTGCGTGGCAGGCATGGCGTCGGTGGTTTGCCAAAGCTGTAACGGACGCTGATTTGATCAGAGCTTGTAGCAAAGTCGATGAGCACAAAAAAGCAACGTCTCAAGCTGATCGTTTTAGATGATGATTCCAAGGTGACGGACGGCTGAATGAAGCGATTTGTGTACCTTATGTGAGTCACGCCGCGATGCCAGACTACGCGCAATACCTTTACCGGCCCCTGTGGTGTGCGGCATGGACACAGAAATTCCCGGCTTTTGGCGGGGTTGCCGGATCGGTCACTGCTAGAGACACCACCGAACCCGCAAGAGCTGTGCTGACAAAACATCTGGACAAGATCCTTTTTGGCAAGAAAACCCGAGACCAAACGCCCTCATCACGGCCAACCATTCGGCTTCAGGTTGGCCGACCGCGAAGAATGCGTCTAGCTCATTGGTGATTCGAGAAGCCTCTCACACGAGCGCTCGGTTCCCACCACTTGCTCCGGACCGGCCATGACCGAAATGAGTGCGAGCGGGTTAAGCACAGCGAATCGTGAGAGAGCCGCACCCGACGGCTGTTTTGGCGACAGCAAGCACAAGACGGTGGCCCGATCTGCAGTGATTAAAGGGGCATGTCCAGGCTTGATGCCGAGGTAGCAGGCGGCCTTGAGCTCAGCAAGCCGGGGAAATGAGCCATGCACTGCTCGGCCCGGATCAAGGCGCCAGGCGCAGAGCCTCAAGTGCAGACAGAAAAAGACGGCGCTAGAGGATAAAAAGCCATGTTTTGATGACAGCAACAGACGAAACCCGAGGGTGGGAAACGAAAGAAAACATGCGTCGCATTGTAAAGCCACCTGACTCGGCGGGGTTAGCGCACTCGCCGCTCTTGCTGTGGCCTGGTAGGATCCCAGCATCAGCCACACTTCAGCGGAGCACATAATTCTTGGGTACAGTCCTTGGACACGACGAGGCCTAACGTTGTGACTGAGAACCTATAGCGTTGCTTCATTCGAATCTATATATCAAGGTCTTCCACTCAACTATCTCTCTCCGCGACAAATGGTGAAGCCTCGGCGCTGGAGGCAGGTGATGCCCCGTTTCTGCCATGGACCGCTGATCCAACCCTGTTCACACCTACAAAGTGGCGACGGCCTACTTGCGGTAGAACGGCTCGAGCTTATACTCATCGAGAGCCAGAGAATGCAGAGCCACGTACTGGACGTACTCCGGGTTGAAGTTTTGCAGACAGTACTTTGCGATCATCTCGGTTCCTGGCACGAAGTACTACTCAGCATGCTGGCCGCCACATGCGCAACACAACAGCGGGGATGACTTACCAACGGCCGCACCGCCCGCCGTCCAGAGCTCGCCCTTGCCGTTCGGCCCCGCGTACGGCTTGTCCGTGATGACCCACTTCTGATCAAGCCACTCAACGCCGGGGCGCGCCTGCTTCGCAGCGCCCAAAAGGCTGCGGTTGGTCGTGGCCTTTTTGCCATCCAGCAGGCCGGTGCTGGCGAGCCACATGGAGCCGATGCAGGTAGTTAGCCAGACGCGGGTCGTGAGCCAGGCCTCCTTCATGAAGCGGTCTGCCGGGGCAGGTCGGTGGCTCGGCAGCGGTCCGCCGATGATGATGATGTCCAGGTCGCGGGGGCACGTGTCGTAGGTGACGTTGGGGAGATACATGAGGCTGGGGCTCGTGCCCGTGGGTTCGAGGGTGTTGCCGATGTAGTAGAAGGTCATGTCGACGGCGTCCTGTTCAAACTTGGCAAATTCCGCGTCAATGGCGAGCCCTCCTTCGTAATGGCTTCTCGAGAGGTTGCCGAGGATATCGATGCCGGTGATGTCTGCCAGCTGGACGGCTTCCATCATGACCCCGATGCGGAGCGACTTTCTCGGGGTCGTGGTGGCCATTTTCAGGGATTCAGATAAGGTTTGAGGTGTGATTGACAGGTTGTTCAGGGCTGTGATGTTGTGCAGCACAGGTAGCCGATATAGTTTGAGTGTAGGTACTCTATTTAACCTTCTGTTGCAGATGCAACTTTGGGGTTTTTGTACTACTTTAATCACCACGCACTGTTGACGCAGAACCTCACGGCTTCAAGCCAAACCCCGTGCTTAAGAAACGAATTCCAGCAAAGGTGTTGGGTCTCGAGTAGATACCGAAGAGCATCGGACGTTAGCTTAGAAGTGGCCAATGAGGATAAAGAGCGGCCGAGGTATGGACCTGGAACCAAGCAACTGGGTGAGGTGAGATCCTGCCTCGAGGGTACAAGTCCCGTCCCCGAGCCGCAAGTAAAAGGCTTGGCACGGTGCTCGCTTATCGGTACCTGAGAAGCTCTGCAGCTAGATGTAGAGCTCGGTGTTCAGGTTGATCTCGCTGATCGCCGTCATGGGTACGGATTCTGGGCTAGAACATCGGTGCTTGGAACCTTCCACCGTGCTACGGCCTCCAGCATCGATATACGCATACATGTAAATATCTCGTGATCCTATGACAACCGGTGCATGTAATCCGCTGATACATCATATTTGACGAACCATCATCCGTTCTGAGTGAAGACAAATTACGTGTCTCGAAGGCCAGAGACATACGCTCGCTATTTTCATAAGCAGCTCTTTTCGGGCCAAACTGACCTCCGCTGCATAGCGCTGATAAATTGTCACCAACTCTCCGTGGCTGATGACAATTATTGAAACCCCCGGGCAGGCTCGGACTTCCCCAAGGCATGGGCTGAGCGTGCAACGATTCTCGGGGGGGTGGATCTCGAGATTGTGGGGTCAATGGTCTTGGCGGGTTAAATGACTTGAACCGGTTAGCCATCGTCAACTGTCGCAAACAAATGTAGTATCGTGTGTAAAGCTGTTCGCGAGGGTTGAGGATCCGTACTACATCGCAACATGTTCGTCTGCGGGTCGGCGCCAGAAAGCTTCCGTCTCGCAGACTGAATCAGCTCCAACTGCTCACCATTAGCAATCGTCTGGTATTGGAGATCTCATGGTCGCAGGCGACGCATGCAGCTGCCTACCTGGATGGTCAGCGCAAGAACGAAGCCACGAGGAGTTGGTTCGTGGATGCCTCAAGCATGACTGGCGCCTGAACGAGGTGCGGCGGTGTGAGTTGAGGGACTACAAGAAGCCTCCTCACTCGCCGTCGAGCACCTGATATCATCTCATCTCAAATCAGTATCCAGGGACAGAATCATCAACCTCACCCACGTACACGGCTGATACCACAGTCAGGCATTGCTTGTCAATATCACCCTCTCGCAATGTCTCAGCAGATCAAGAACGTTGTCATTGCCGGTGTGAGTCCCAGCCTCTCACGGCCGCCCAGGCTGTCCGCATCTGACTTGTTTCCGTTTAGGCGACTGGCAGCGCCGGCTCTCACGTCCTGCAGGCCCTTGTCAAGTCTGGCAAAGTTCAACGTCACCGCAGCGGTCCGCAAGGCCAACGACAAGCTGCCATCCTCCGTCAACGTCAACGTCATCGACTTTGACTCTGTCGATGCCCTCGTCGAGACTTTCAAGGGCAGGACGCCGTCATCGACACGACCATGAGCCCAGACTCGGCCATGCCCCTGCGCATGGTCGAGGCAGCCGTCGCCGCCGGCGTCTCCCGCTTCATCCCCTCCGAGTTCTCCATTGACCCCAGGAACTCCAAGGGTCGCTCCGTACCCATTTACGCGCCCAAGAACGAGGTCCTCGCCAAGCTCGAGGAGCTCGCGGCCGCGGGCAAGCTCACGTGGACGAGCATCTCCAACGGTGCCTTTCTCGACTGGAACCTGCGCACGGGCTTCTTCAAGATTCACCTCAAGACCAAGAAGGCCGAGCTGCTCGACGGTGGCGAGGTTGTCACGGCGTGGACGCTGCTTGACCACGTCGGCCAGGCGGTGGTCGGTGTGCTCCTCCACCCCGAGGAGACCAAGAACCGCCCCGTCTACATCTCTACGATCCAGATGAGCCAGAAGTCAATGGTTGAGCTCGCCCAGCAGGCCCTTGGACGGGACGGTTGGGACATCAGCTCGCTGGACATGGAGCCGGTGTATCAGCAGTCGCTTGGTGAGCTCTTCGCAGGCAGGGTCACGTTTGAGGTCATTCGCAACCTGATTCTGTACTGCAACTCGAGAGAGGACTACTCCGGACCATTCGTCAAGACCGACAATGCTCTCCTGGGAGTCGAGCAGTGGAGCGACGAGCAGGTGAAGCAGCTGATTGTGTCGATCGCTTCCGAGTAGAGGGCTCCAGGAGCTCACTGCTGCTGAAGCTGCTGAAGCTGCTGAAGCTGCCCAGAGATATTTCAATGATGAATAGAAATAAATGGTTTATCTGGTTGTTTGCGTCCCGCATCAAGTGGCCACTCTAGCACTCTGGCTCTTCGGTCTCTACCTCGGTACCTAAGTAGGTACCTTGTGTCATGAAACAGGTAGGCACCTAGGTTAGATATTTTGGGTAAGAGCTCCTTGAGGCTGTGTAAGCCAATTGTAGCGTTTCGTGGCTGAGGTGTGCCTTCGGGTCAGCAACCACATAACTTATGCTTAAAGCAGCGAGGCCTTCGGGTCACACCCACTTTGAGCATGACACAGGGGCTCACTGTCGTACAAGATAGTGGAACCAAGTGGTTGAGCCGATTTGCCGTCGGGCAATTGGTCTGGCGCATCAGAGAGGGAAGGGAAAATGAGAAAGGGGACACGATGTACAGAAACAGAAACCGAGCCAACACCAGATACGGCAGCAGCGAAAATGAGGAGAATTGCGTGATCAGGGATCTCCATACGGGCAGGCCAAGGGCAAAAGGGAATACCCTCAAAGGGAAGGGAACGAGATGCGGCGAGATGCAAAGAAGCAGCGCCAAGGTCGTGCCGAAACGTGCGACACGACCTGTTTCAAGTCTGACCCCCCTTCCCCCCCAAGGGCCAGCGCCTCGTTTTCCCTTTGGCCCCGCCGCCGCCGCCAAAGCCCTCGGTAGCCAATGAGGCCCCCTCCAACCCCTTGTAGACAATGTCTCCTAATGACACGAGCGATCTGAGTGTGACATGCCTATTACGAGCCTGTCGTGGCGCCTCAGGTAGATCAAGTAGATCGAGAGGAACAAGTCAGTGAGAGACTCCACAGCGAGCTGCCTGAAGCTGCTGCTGACATTGCTGACCTGGCCAGCAAGTGGACCCGCTGGAGCGGTGAACTTGTTTATATGCAGGCGCAGGTAAGGTATCAGGCGAACATGGCGAGATGACCACGAGAAGGAGCTCGCCGGCTCGACCGATGGAAGACAGGCCGATGGAAGGCAGGCACCAGGGGCCGCATAACGACGGCGGGGTGGTATACGTCTCTGCGAGGAGTCACGCTTGTTCGTTTCCCTTGGCGTCTTGCCGCCGTTCATTGTTGATTTCAGGTTGATAGAGTTCAAGAGACAGACAAACAGGTTGACTGATCTACAGGCAATCTAAGGCCCATGCTGAGACAGGCTATCGGCGGTGAGTTGGCCCGCCGCCTTCCCCTTCGATACCCCATCAGCCGGAACGCCTGAGCTGGTGCCACGCGCTACGTCAATTTGGTGAGCAAACGGCCACAAAGTCACAGGATCATGCCTGTCCTGCAACTGCGCGAAGTGGTTGCGAGTGGAGGCTCGGGGTGCAATGGCAGCATGGGCGACGAAAAGGGGCCAATGTCAACAACAAGAAAACGCCAACACGACGATGCATTGCGAGCAGGCTCTTTGTCTTGAGAGGAGTACCATGTGATAGGTAGACTTGAGCAAGCCATACACGTTGTATTCCTTTCCCTCTCACAGAGTCCCTCGCTCTGTGTTGCTTCGCTATTCTGCCATTCTCCTGGGTCGGATTACCTATCGGCAGCATGTCGGAAATGTCAAATGTGTAAGCTGCCGATCGTGACCCAGTGATGCAGTAATCAAGCCTGCCGATCATGCCGAGGGTCGAACGAGTGTGGTGGATTGCTTGTACAGCAAGAGAACAAGGGGGAAAAATTACACAGAGGCTCAGGCAAAAACGCACACATCGGACAAGACGCGGGCTTGGCGGGATGCGGGATGCGGGATGCGGGATGCAGGTGGCACGCTCGCACCCCCTTGCGCTCGTTTCGAGGTTTCATGCTTCTACGCCAGCAGCCGCCGGTGCTGGCGTTGTCAACGGGGGAGGGGGAGAAGGGGGAATCCAATCGCTGTCATTCGTCGTCAATTCGTCCGGCTTGGCCCTCTGGCCCTTTTACTGGCTGGGCAGTCAGTGCTCAGTGCTGGTGCTGTTGCTCACTCTCACTATCGCGTCGCCTCGCCACCCCACCACCCCCTGGCTTACATCCACTGAGCTTCTGACCTCGCTTCCATTGTGCCAAGACCCACCGTTGAAGCGTGCGGATGGTCCTGCCTGACCTCGACCTGTCTCGTCATGTCCTCTCCTGTGTGTGGGTGGGCGCACTTGCCTGCAAGCCTGCGGCGCCCGCGCTGAGCCTCTCTTTCTCTAGCCCCCACCCCCCCGGTAGCCCTTTCCTCCACAGCGCCGCCGGCTGCCCACCCCCAGCTCCTGTCCCTGTCCCTTTCCTTCCTTTGACTTGAACCTCAACTTTCGACGTCGGCCCATCCTCGATCTCCTCTGTCCACCATCGACAACACCAGCACCCGTGCCTTCCTGGCTGCTGCTGTGTCGCTGCGGATCACGAGTTCTTCGCGATTGTGCTCTGACGCCCCCCCCCACGCCCCCTTTTCTCTCCTCCCCCTTCTTCGCCCGTTCCCCACGTTCTTCAACCGTCCACTCAACAACTCCGCGTTTGCTAGAACACCACCTCTGTGTGACGCGCTCCAGGCGAGACAATCCAGAGACACTCTCCCACGGCACCGGCATTCCACCCAACTCCCACTACCTGCGACTCACTTGCGAAGCCCTCCTTTCGATTTCGACTCGCTCATTGCAAACACACTTTGCCGTGTTCTCATCGCCACATCGTCAACATGGCCATGCTGGCTCCCAAATCGTCGTTCCCCGCGGGCTTGGGCTCGAACAGCTCCAACATGGTCGCCAGCGTACGCCTGTTCCTTGGCATTAAGAAGCTCAGGACCAAGGCCTATGCAAACCAAAAGAAGAGGAATAGGGTACGCAGTTTGCGCCGCGCCGCCTGGCCTTTGCTGTTTTTTTTTTTTTTTTTTTTTTTTTAAGAAAAAAAAATCGATTCGTGCTCCTTTGACTAACAAAAGCTCAGGACTCCTTCGGTCTCCTCGACTCCCAATACATGGCCTCTGCCAACTCGCCTCGGCCCTCTGGCCCTTCGACGTCGTCCTCCGCTGGCCGTGGCATGCCGACTCCTCCGATGAACAAGCGCTACTCGCGCCAGATCGACATGCCCCTACCTCTCGATACCTCAAAACCCTCCTCGCGCCCCAGCTCTCCTCTGCCAGGCTCCGATGCGCGCCAGGCTCGCCAGCGCTTCGGCCAGAGCCCCGGCTACATGAGCAACGCCGGCCCCAATGCTTCTTCAAGATCGCCGCACGAGCTGCCCCAGGCTAATCGATTGGTAACATCTCACCATACCAGGAATCAGTCCAGTATGGATGGCTCACTGATGGCTGGTTTACCGCAGAATCAGGAAGTTATTCGTGTCATCTCAACCGGAGGCGTGACCAAGGTTGTCAAGATTGCCGACTGCAATACGTGTGAAGAAGTCATGCGTGTCACACTACGCAAGTTTGCTCTGCGCGAGGACCACGAGAGGAATTATTGCTTCTGGGTCCTTGCTGGCGTCGACCCCGACCCGAGCCAGTGCCGTCGCCTCGGCGATACCGAACTGTGGCGCATCATCAAGGACCAGAAGCGTCCCGAACGGAACCGCCTCATCCTACGCCGTGTGCCCGCTGGCGAGCCTGGCATGTCCGAGCTGGAGCGGGCCGCCGGCATCGCCGTCGAGGAGGCACAGCAGAACCATGTCCGTGCCCTCGAGTCGGTCGATAAGAGGAGTCAGCTCAAGGTACAGAAGCTTCTAGGCGAACGCTGGAACGATGAACTCCAGCATCCTCTCTCGCCCGTCTCCTTCCAGGACCGCGAGCGCAATGTTCACAATGCCGCCAAGGATCTCGAGCGCCCCGCATCGAACGACTCATCGCGGCCACATGGAAGGAAGGCTGTGCTTCGCCAGTTTGGTGGCCTGAGACCCCCGAGCGAGCTCATTACTTCCGATCTCACGTCCTACTTCCCTGATCATGCCAGGGAGGACATTGACAGGACGGCTCGTCTTTCTATGAGACGGTCAACTCGCATGAGCAAAGTCAACAGCCGTTTGAGTGTTGCGAGCAATCTGAGCTTTGCCTCGAGTATTGCCGATGCTCCGCCCATTCCCACAATTGCCGACACATGGTTGACCGCCTCTGCTCAGGCAGCGAAACCCCTGAACCAGGCGGCCCGCCAAGCGGCCCGCAACACCCACGCATATCGTGACTCGGTCACATCGTCGGTGCTTGACACCCTTCAGGAGGAGTCACCCATCGAGCCCAACCGCAAGTCTTACGTTTCATTCGCCGACAGCAATTCGGATACTGCTGCGGTGAGCGTCACTGATCCCGATGGCAATATCACGAGGAAGAGCTTCTTCGATGGCGAGTCCACAATCTCGACGGGCTCGGGGTCCGTGGAGCAGCTCACCCAGGCACTGAACGAGGATGGCGAGGACGAAGACGAGGAGCTCCAGAGCTTCCTTGCTGGCGAGTCGTGGTCCGACGACAAGTGGATGAAGGGTGCTCTCATCGGCCAGGGTTCTTTTGGCTCTGTCTACCTTGCTCTACACGCCGTCACCGGTGAGCTTCTTGCCGTGAAGCAGGTTGAGGCACCCGCTCCCGGCGCCAACAGCCAAAGCGATGGCCGCAAGAAGAGCATGATCGAGGCTCTCAAGCGCGAGATCAGTCTGCTCCGTGACCTCCGACACCCCAACATTGTGCAATACCTAGGCTGCAGCTCGTCGTCTGAGTTCCTCAACATTTTCCTCGAGTACGTTCCGGGTGGCTCAGTGCAGACCATGCTTAACTCGTATGGTGCTCTGCCCGAGCCCCTAGTGCGCAGCTTTGTCCGACAAATTCTCACTGGTCTCTCGTACCTGCACAACCGCGACATTATACACCGAGACATCAAGGGTGCCAACATTTTGGTCGACAACAAGGGAACCATCAAGATTTCTGATTTCGGTATCTCCAAGAAGCTCGAGGCATCCAACATTCTCAGCGGCGCGAACAACAACAAGCATCGTCCCTCGCTCCAGGGTTCTGTCTTCTGGATGGCGCCCGAGGTCGTCAAGCAGACGTCTTATACTCGCAAGGCGGATATTTGGTCTCTCGGCTGCCTTGTCGTCGAGATGATGACGGGCTCCCACCCCTTCCCCGACTGTACCCAGATGCAGGCTATCTTCAAGATTGGCGGTGCCATGGCTGCGCCTACCATTCCCGAGCACGCCAGCCCCGAGGCCCAGAAGTTCCTCGCCCAGACCTTTGAGATTGACTACAACCTTCGCCCAAGTGCCGACGAGCTCATGCTCAGCCCCTTCCTGGCGCCCATTACCTAAATGGCCCCTGAGGCGCGAGTTCCTCTGGCAGGGGCTTTATGACATGGAGTTGTGGATGGCATGCCACGCCATTTGTCTTTTTTTCTTCTCTTCACTCCTTTAATCGAGTTTCAGTGTACAGGAAGCACAGCGAGGCTCATTGTGGAGCGGGATGCTAATTGGCTTCATTGTGCCAGGCGAATATATGGATGGATGACGGATGATCTAGGGGACGTTTTGCCTTGAAGGACCGGGAATATAGAAGGCGGGGCGAGAGAGCTGTGTACACTATCTATATATCCCGATGATGACGATGACATGGCAATGGAAGCTGAGATTTCAAGTTACACACGTCATTGCGCTGTTGTGCATTGCCGTTGCAATACCATGACATGCAAACACAAGACGACTCAAGTCCACAAACAATGAACAGCGTGTCGGGCGTGCAGACATGGATAATTGTGGGGGGTATATCAACAAACAGGTCAAGCTACCCATCCGACTACTCGGCAAGGACAAGGAGAATGGGGGGGGGGGGGGGGGGGACAACAGACAATCGCACCGCTTGCCCAGCCGCAGCCGCAAATTCCAACCTCGTCAAGCCGACCACCAGTGGACATGTGAGAGGTGGCAGGGACTCAAGGCCGCCCGCCCAGGCAGGCAGACATGCGAACGTGAAATCCCGTCCTTCTCAGCCCGTTTTTAAAATAAAAGAGGGAAATCTGAGAATCTACCCCGTCCGGATGTGTTCGCCCTCTCACCCTCCCCGTCCGTCCGTCAACTTCATAAGTGGAACCGTGATAATGGCAATGGAAAAAAAGCAAGTCAAGAAAGACACAATCTTCCCCTTCGTCTGAACAGCATCTTCTCAGATCGATTCCATGGTTTTGGGTTGCGTCGTTGCGCTTGTACATCCCGCACGCCGACATGCCCGATTCCCTGCGTGCGTCAGGGCCCTGAACATGCTTGCTGCTTCTTCGGCGACGACTACTCCGAGTCGACGTCCATGTCGTCGCTCTTCGCAGCCCGGCTCCGCCGACTCCTAGTCGGCCTGGCCGCAGGGGCCGCCTCCTTTTTGGCCGCCGGCCGACGCGGCAGCTCCGCCGTCTTGGCAGCGCCGCGGGCCTTGCGCCCATTGGGCTTTGCCGGTGGCGGCGTAGCGTCCTTCTCGTCGTCGGACTCCTCGGGCTCGGACAGGTCTGACGAGGCGGGGTCGGACAGGACGGACGAGTCGCGCTTGGCGGCTGCGGCGGCGGACTTTCTGCTCTGCGCGGGGCTCTTGGTCTTGGCGGGATTCGCGGGCGCCTCGTCCTCCTCGTGGTCGGTGTTGCTGGCGGCGTCAGACATTTCCGAGTCGGATGCCTCGGGCGCCTTGTCGTTGTCCTGCTCCTCCTCCCCGTCGTCTTCGACCTCGTCGTCGTGGTCATCGCCGCTGCCGGAACCGTAGTCCCACTCGGCGACGCCGTCTTCGAGCATCTCGTTGTCGTCCTCGTCGCTGTCGCGCTCCGTGTACTTGGACTCAGTCTTCCGGCTCCGACCGCTGCGCCGGCGGTTCGCCTCGTCGACGACGGGGGACGAAGCGCGCCCAGCGGCTTTGGAGGGCCGTTTGGGCTTGGCCTTGGCCTTGGCTGCTGATTTTCGCTTGGGCGCGGCAATGGGGCGCGCAGACGCCGGTTTCGGCTCCTTGGTACGGACTTTCTTCACGGCGGGGGCGCCATCGCCTCGCTCGTCGCCGGACTTGCGCTTCTGGGCCTCAAGTTAGCAAGCTGGAACACATAAGGAGACACCACAGCTGAAGAGCAGCAGCAGCAGCAGCAGCAGAAGCACGTACCTTCTTCTTGTCCACCGCCTTCAGGAGGGTATCGATCCTGTTGTCCATGCCGTCGGGGATGTACTGCTTCGTAGCGATCGCCTGCGCCGTGTCGTGGTCCGTCAGGCCGACGTAGATGCCCGACGGCATGCCAACCTTGCCCGGATACGCCTGGAAGGCCCATCCCCTACGCTCCTGCCACCTTCGTATGACGGCCGAAGCGAGATCGCTGACGACGTAGAGGTTCTCGCTCTTCTCGGGGTCGAGGTTGTCTCGCGTCTGCTTCACGCGCTCGGCGTACTTGTAGATGAGGCCGAGGTTCTTCTCCGTGGCCACGTGGCTGACGTAGTAGATGAGGTACTGTGCATGGTCGACCAGGTTCTCCGGGTCGGTGCTGTAATCTGGGTGGTGAGCCAGCAGAGGGATGAGCCTTGCCAGTATCGCCTCCATCGGGTTCTGTGGGTTCCCCGCCATTGACTGTACCCTTGAGCGAATCCACGTTTCAATGTGCTGCTTGAGCTCCGGCTCCGGCTCGTACGCGGTCAGGAAGATGATCGTGTAGAAGCGGTGGCGGAGCCTGTTGAGGACGAGGTACTTCATGAGCTTCTCCACGAAGCCCTTGCGAACACCAAGCACAGCATCCTGCACGAGATACGCCAGAGTGTGGAAATCCTTGTGGTTCAGCGTGTCGTCGAGATGTTTCAGCGTGCACAGCTTCAAGATGAGCTGGCCGGCCAGCAGGCGCAGACGGGAGCGGAAGTGGGCCGGCGTGTTCCCAGTCTTACTGATCTCGCCGTCCTTCTTGACGAGCGTCATGAGAAGCTTCATCACCGACACCGCCTGGGCCTTGGCCTCTTCCTGATCCTCATTGCTGCGGATGCGGTTGACGGCAATACGCAGCGAGTACAGCTTCGCCTGGAGCTCCTCGCTCATGTTGGCGTCTTCTACCCACTGGGGTGCACTCGAGTCGTTAACAGCCTCTTCGCGCGTTGTGCGGACGATCTTTTGAATGGCCATGTCGAGAATCTCCTCATCCTTCTCTTCTACCACTTTGGGCGCTTGCAGATACAACTGAGCAATGACCTGCAGCTTGTTCAGGAAGTGAGGCGCGCCATACTCGAACTGCTTCATGACCTTTTCAAAGACGGCTGTTGCCGTAACCTGCCCCTGCTTATCGTTCTTGGCCAGCATGATCTTGATTGCATACTTGGACGCTTTCACAGGACGGCCGTACAGGGCGTAGTGCTGCAATGCGCGAGTGAATTTCTGGGTGTCGGGGATCTCTGCGGGATACTTCTTGGCAAAAGAAGAACAGGCCCGCAGGATATCCACGGTACTTGGGTCATTGGTCTTCTTCTCTGTGGGGGCTTGCTCGACGAGCTCTTCGCACAGATCGCCGACAAAGTTCTTGAACATGTCTGGATTCCGGGCGGAAATTTCGTGCAGGATCTCGTGGGCAATCGTGCCGAAGCTCTCCTTGTTGCTCTTGGATGATTCCAAAATGGCAGAGAGGTGGCTCTTGTTGAAGATGATGCAAGCTGACCGATACAGGAAAGGAATCAAGGTATCAAGCGCAGTAGCAAGGTCCTGTCCCTTCGGACTGTTCTGCATACGCTTCACCAACTCCTTGATCGCTCCGCGGACCGTTTTGTAGTCGCTCTGGGAGCTGATGGCGAACCTGATGAGCTGGTAGTTTCGGCGATCATGCGCCTTGGCGAACCTCATGTAATCCGACTTGACCTTGAGGGGGTCGGGGAAGAACTGGCCAATGTACTGAATGGTCCTCTCCAGCGCAGCTGTCCTCTTGGGGCCCTCAGCATCCATCACACCGCCATTGTAGGCCTCGCACTGCTTGATAAAGGCCTCGAGGACTTGGCCAAATTGAGGTTGTCGTGCCTGCATGGTGAAGAAAGCCTTGCGAGCCTGAGCGTCGAGCGACTGCACAAGCAACAGGATCCTTTCGGTGCGCAGGCTGTCTTGTTCCGACGGAACGCTTGTGACAGACTGGCTCTGGCTCGCTGTGTTTTTAGAACCTTTGGTCTTGGTGGGCGGATACGAAAGCGGCAGCAGGCACTCGAAGATGACTCGGTCGATCAAGACGTTCAGCTCGAGGTCGTTGGCGTACCACGCGTTGAAAATGGTCGAAGGAATGCTCTTGAGAGCTGTGGTGACGAGCTCCTGTCCAGCAGCCAACTCGCCTGCGCCGACACCCCAAAGCTTTGCGAGCAGCGTCATGGCCTCCACGCGGATGGCTGGTCGCTTGTCGCGGCACCTATCCAGCAGGCTGCGAATGATGGGAGTTTCTTTGTCACTGCCACTACCAGAGCCAAGCTTCAGAACAAAGTCTCGGAACCCAAAGAGCTCGATCGTCTTCACAGCTGCCAGCCTAACCTTCTCGTCGCCGTCGCCCAGCTTTTCAGCAAGGGCGCGGACTAGCTCTGCTTGTTCCTCGCGGCTCAGACCGATACCGCCTGCCGAGGTGGACAGAATGTAGCCAACTGCAGTTGTCCAAGCGGCGCGGATTGCTGGCGTCTTGTCTCTGCTTCTGCCGATGAAGCTCGTGTACGCAGTATGATGGGTCTGCGCAAACGACTGTGGTGACAAGGGCGTCGTCAGGATACTGAGGGAAACTTGTGAAGGGTCCTCGTCGGCAAGACGCAGAGGAGGATAGGCTGCTGGGTCCAGGACCGGCACAGGAGGCGGTCCAGCCGCGCCAATGCCGGAGATCATATCGCCCAGCGTTTCCGTGGCGATCTGTCGCAGCTCAACATTGTCAGCAGAGAGCTCAGCCTCGACCTGAGGAATGACGTTTTGAAGCACCGAGGGTGCGGCACGCCAGAGTTCCTTGATGAGCAGGTGCGCCTTTCTCAACTCTCTGACCTCGGAGTCTGTCGGGCCCCTAGGAGTGTCATCGTCCTCATTGTCGCCGCCGTGACGGTGGCCGTTGGATTTGGCCGCGAACCGAGACGCATCAATGATGACGTCGCTGAAGTACTGGCTCACGTAGTGGACCATCTTCTCAGAACACTGCATGCAGATTTCCTTGGCCATGACATAGGCCAGGGGCTCGGACTTCAGGAGCAGTGTCGACTGACTGCTGTTGTCGCGCTCTGGGCGCGAGCTTGCGCCTCCCGGGGGTGCTGCGCGGAGGAACTGCGCCATGATGAGTTCGATAATCTTGGGGCTGATACCGCTTGACTCTTCGATGAGGGTGATGAGCATTTCTGACATGCGCCTTGCATTGTCCTTGGAAACGCCATCGTCGTGGGTCGTGCTCGAGGCGGTGTCAAAAAAGCTGGAGAACATGCGCTGCAGCAAGTTGTCGGCGCCATCAACGTCATTGATGAGGAGGATGCTTTGAGTATCGTTGAGTGAAGCCAGGACGTACTTGTGCTGCTTGTGGTAGGGGTGTGACTGATCGCCAAGGTGGGTGAAGACGTCTTTGATGACGAGATCGAAAAACATCTACGTGCGTGCCATTGTCAGCTTGATACCCATGCATATGAAGGAGGCAGGGCACTGCACAAACCTGGAGCTGGTCGGGTGTGAAGGGGGCATTGGGGGCGGATAGTTGCAGAATGTCGGCGATGCAGGACGCGGTGTAGGCCCTCACGCCTTGGTCCTTGTGAGCCAGGAGGTTGCGCTGTCCAAGAGCTTCGCAGACGTGGGACAGAGATTCGAGGTCGACATGATCCTGTTCCAGCGTGCCCAGCTCTTCGGAGAGCTTCTCGAGGCGCTTGAGTAGCGTAGACACGGCGATGGGCCGGCCGACCCTCCATGTCAGCTCCTCGTCGAACTGCAGGCTGAAAACCTCGCCCGATTGCGCTGCTTCGTTGTCGTTTTCGGAATCAGCATGTTCGACCTGGTCTTGGGTGCCTGCTGCCTCTTCTTCTTCGTCGTCTTCGGCTTCGGCCTCTGGCGTCTCCTCCTGGATTTCCTCGACCTCTTCAACCTCTTCGACTACTTCTGGCTCGGGCTCGGGCTCGGGCTCGGCGCGTCCACGGCGACGCGATGCACGCGCCATGTTTGCGCGGTGTGTATGTTGTCGTTTCTGTGTGCAGAGGCGGCAAGAATCGGGTGATCTTTTTGCCTTATCGTGTCGTGTCGTGTCGTGTTCCTAAGCTGGTCGCGGCGCGTGCGGGGGATGGAGGTTGCGCGCGCGCGAACTGCCTTCGAAGCTGTAATTTTTGCGATTGATATTCGCAAAGTCGCCGAGCACGATGATTTTTCAGGGCGCTGGTAGTAAGAGGCAAGATTCGCTTCAATGGATGGCGCGGAAACCAGGGTCAATGAACGAGCAGACAGGCTGAAGGCTGGGGAGGGGGGGTTGATGATTTGGGTCTCTGGTCTTTGGGAGAC